AGACAACTCCACATGTCGGAAAGGAGTGACCTACCTGTCTTGCAGATAAACAAAAACAAAACAACAGACAATAAAATTATTAATGAAATGACAAAAATTGTTGTCCATCTGCTAGTTTTACTTTGTAACATTAAAGCTGGGTCTGTTTTGGTCTTAACAGAATTCAATATTAAATTAAACTTAGTCTAATTTCTAATTTCAAAAATTCCAGCTTCAATTATGTTTATAGACTTTGGATTATGCTTTTATTTATGTCGCTAATAAATTTATGTGGTATCCTTTAAATGAGAATCATGTTGTGGTGGGTATGATTTGACCATACAATATCATGTTTCACTCCACCCAATTGTGTGTCTAAGTAGATTTTGTCACTTAAAAGCACAAAGTTCTTGTAGACTCCAAATTGGACAGCGCTGCTCAGATGAGATTGGGATCAAATTACTTTATAAACATGTTGAATCAACCGTAAACTAAAAAGTTTAAGTTAATAGATAAAGGGTAAATTTAATCATGTATAGATATTTCAACATTCTCGAATTCAAGTGAGTCTAATTAGTTTTTGGTAGCTTGAGCAAGATAAGATCCCAAGCACAAAGTTTATAGGGATATTGAGGTTGCGTTTTTTTTTTTTTTTGGTAAGTACAACAAATGTGCAGATGACGATTCAACCTCCGAGCCTTTAGGGAAGGAACAAGATCGAGATGTCTTAACCACTAAACTTTATTTATATTATTAGGACATCAGACTGGTTAATCATCTTGTAATCGCTAATTTGTCCCAAAATCAAACTTCAGTGGTGTAGGAAAAGGTGCAATCTAACTATGACATACCACACAAAACTTTACATGTAACATGTGCTTTGAAGAGTAATAATTGTTAAGTCGTCCCGATAAGCCACATCTCAAGTTGCTGTAAGTTGTACCGTAACCGACAAACCTACATAGCATTATTACAAATTTACATTGCCTCATTCGGAAACACGTATACGRACCTCAGCTTGAACCAGATAAAGTCACGCCTCCAATAAGTAACACCCCATGAAAGTCTAGCTTGACACTGACCTGAAAACATAGATGTCACCCAGATAAAATCTGTTGGTTAAGTATCTCACATTGAAAAGATAAGAGACCTAACAAATATTTATAATATATATACGACATGGACTACTCCTCTCATTATGAAATAATTTTGAGATAAAATTCATGGATATTGATATCAAGTTCAAATACCTAACGAAGGTTTATAAAGGCGACTTGTCACCTGTCCAGAATCCAGTTTGAAAGAATTGAAAAAGGTTTAAAAACAAAAGATAATTTGTAATATATAGACTGATGAATGAACCACACACTTCTTTTTGCAGCACATGGTGGTGATCATGATTCATGACAAAATAAAGTATTATTAGTATTAATGTTCATAGTCTCTCATTTATAAGGCTACCATGTCCCTAAACTAAATTACCTAATCAAAAGCACACCCTTTTTCCGTACTCAGAATTCCCTCTTTATGACATTAGAATTTATAACCACTACCACTGCTCTCTCAAATTCTCGGTCCCATTAAATTCCTCTCCGCGGGATCAATGCCAATGCACACGCCTTCAATCTGTTTGAAGAAAGTCCTCAACCAAACTTTCTTTCTTTTCCTTCTCCACAGCTCCAGTGACATGGCCTCAATCACTGTTCGATCACCGGGTGAGGATCCGAATCTACAATTTTCAAAGAAGATCAATAATAATATAACAGAGTTGGGCTAAGTTGAGATTCGATTTTAGAACGGAAATAACACAAAGAGGAGAGAGTAATGTATGTAATGTAAAGGGTTTTTGAAGTGGATGACACAAGTGGTAATTAAGAAGAAGAAAGAGCAGTCAAGGCAATTATGTAATGGAGGACTGTAAAAAGAAGGGTGTGGGTTTGGAAAGAATCATGCTTTGTTTGAAATGTTTTGGTTGTTTATTCCAAAACCTCTTTATCTGCTTTTTGTTTCCCATATGGGCTTTATGAGTGTTGTGTGTATTATTGTAATTTCCATGGGGGTATCTTATTCCTTCTTGTAAGAGATGCCTTTGTGTAAAAGTGAAAGGCATAAAATTATTTTCTTGGGATTTTGTTCTCTCTTTCATGGTTTGTTTTTCTTTTCTTCTCTAAATATGCCATCAACTTATCGGTTTTAAAATTGACATTTAGTTAGATTCTTAATTAGTCTAACCTCTTTATAACTATTGGAGTTAGTTAAGTTTAATTAGGGAATCCAATGGTAGGAGTATAATTATATAGTGTTAGTGGTCTTTCGTGAAAAATATTGATATACTGACATGTTTTTAGGGAGTGTTCCAAAGCGACTGAATGACTGACAAGAAAGGAAAAAACACACTTTGACACTAAAAATCAATAATTTTTTAAGTGAGTGATAGCTCGTCTAGAGATAATTTCGAAAAATTACTGACTTGAGTGTAGATCGTGGTTTTCCCTTCTTGCAAGTCATTTAGTCACTTTGAAACACTCACTTTTAACAAGTCTCCATATGCACAATAACAGTCCAACTGTTTTTGTGGAAGAACTTGTTGGAGATAAGATTACCACAAATTAATTTAACATAACTAAAGTAAAAATATTACAAAATACCAGGTAGGAAAATAATTTGTAAATATAAAAAAATATATATTTTAGAAATAGAAAATAGAGATAAAGTGTTGTAGGTGAGATTTTTTTTCAATAATGTTAATTTTAAAATTTAATTTCAAAATAATATGCTGCCCTCAAATTTGTTTAATAAATAAAGCTTCCAATGCTTCTAAAATAATATTGATGACATGCTACGACAAGTGTAGAACTTGTCTGTTGAAGAAACGACATGCTACGTCACGTATAAAGGATATGATTTTTAGAATAAGAGAAAGGGTTGCATTATTTCTGCAATAAATTTGAGGGTTGCATAATTTTGAAAATATGTTTCAAAATGAGCATTAAAAAAAAAATTGTTGCAAGTGTTAGCTCAATTAATCATCTTTCTGGATGGGCTTTTCTTTTGACTCGGCCCATGACTCAAGCCCATTCCAATATCAGCATGGCCTGCTAGATGTCTGACTTGGAATCTGTGAGGAATAACATAGATATCTTTTTTCAAACAAATTTGATGTAATTACTATAATTATAGTAGTTATTGATTAGCGTTTGCTATATTTTTTAATATATTTGTATTTATTCTTTTTAAACGTTTTTAATTAATATATAATATTGGATTAGTAAGAAAAATGTCATAGTTTCACTGAGATTTTATAATATATTTTATAAATTAATATTTCATAGGAGCATATCTATGAGTTGTAATTTAAATATTTTGTCATTTTGTCGATGCAAGTACAGTGCAATGAATCAAAAATAGTATTTATATATCTAATATTGGGACGTTATAAAATTTTATAGTTTTTTTGAAAAAATAAAAATAAACTCTTACTTTACCATCGAAACTTTTATCAACACGCTATAAAAAAAAAAATTTCCGTTATTTTAGGTTAACTTTTTTCCAAGGCTATTATTGAAAAAAAGTTTAATAAAAGCTAATTCGCCATGGTTTTTGTGTCATAATTTTCTCCACTATAATACAAATCTTTGTTTCTCTTTTTTTTTGTCTGCTCTTTCTTCCGGACAAAGTAATCATATTTTCTGCATAAACGATATCGTTGATCTTATTTTAGGTTTAACTTATATATAAGAATATGATACTCTTTCCAAATTAAAAAGAAAAAAAAAGGCTAACTATATTTTACTTTCTTAGAATTCTCATAATATACTATTTTTAAATAATTAATCTTGTGTTAATTTTGTAAAAGTGTAAATAAATATCTTGAAAATTATAAAACTCAAATAAATTATTTTATAATTTTGAGAGATTAAAATATAACTTCTAAAACTTTCCAAATCAATCCAATTTAGGATTTGTGAGAGAAGATAGAATAGAAAATTAAAACAAAACTTTAATTTATTGAGAAAATATTGCAAAAGAAAACTCTCGATATTATCGGTAGAATTCTCACGATTTTATTTTTTGGATTTTGTTTCACCAAAATATCTTATAACTATTCATCCTTACCTGTATACTATAAATTAATCTGCAAGATTTTGTTTAAACTATCTCGATACATCTTTATAATTTTAAAATTTTCAATTTAATTTTTTAAGATTTAAATTTAGTTTTAATTTGATTTCTATCATTTTAAAGTTTCAATTTTATTACTATAGTTTGAATAAACTTTACACCTTCTTGAACCTTTTTATATCATTTTGAAACTAGACCGAAATCATAGTAAATAAATGGTAACTTTTCAGAACTATGGTACCGAATTAAACTCCATCCAAACTATATAACCAAAATTGTAATTTAAGCCTTAAAACTTACTGATTTACAACAAAAAAAAAAGGAAAAGAAAAACTGGAAGACCCAAAGATCTGAACTAATAATCAAATCCAAAAGAAAAAAAAAACTAAAAAAAAAAGAAGAAGAAGAAGAAGAGTGAAGATCAGACTGATATTTCTCCGATCGATGCGGCGTCGTTTTGGGTCCTACTTATTCTGGATTGGATTTGCTCCACTGGGCGGCGCGTTCCTCAAGCTCTGTTCCACAGCTTTCTTGGGCTCTTTAATGGCGGATCTTCCACTTTCCATTGAAACCATTACCCTTCTTCCTATGCTTCTTCTTTGGCTCTGTCCATGCCGAAAACAGAACGAAGAACTGACTGTGAAATTTTGAATCAGAATCAGAACAAAAAGGCACCAACAAATTCTGCAATTTAAACCCTTCTTCTTCATGCTCTCTGTAAAGTTTCAGTGGAAAATGGAGGAGATGGAGAGGGGATTTGGTTTTTATTAGGTTCGGTTTTGGTGATGGGGTTTTTTGATTATGTCATTTTACCAAATTCTTGTTTAAAGCTTTTTCTTTTTCTTAATTAAAAAATTGGGTCTGTCAATTATTAAACTTGGCTTCTTGCCTGTAATGGTGTACGTATGAGTGTTGTTTTTCAGTGTTCTGAAAATGTTAATTAAAAGAAAGGTTTCTAATTAAGCACTTTTTTAACATATTTGATGATAATTTGTGACGGTGATTTTGTCATATTGCCAAATCTGTAAATTTTTGTGGGAAAAGTACCATTTTGATTCCGAAGTTTTTGGTTATAAGTTCGTTCCACTGACATATTTGTTGAAGTCCCTAACACGAAAATAAATTGGTTTTTTTTTTTTTAAGTTCTAATCATTTTGAGCATAAAACGAAAAATCATTTCGTTATGAGTATGAATTGCCTCATATTAGCCAAATAAAGTTGTGAAAAATAAGGCATTTTAAGGCTTGTACATTGATTACGATTATTAAGCTGTCATTACTATGATAAAACACGAACATCGTGATAGTAGACCCTATTGTAGTTATACTTAAAATTAAGACTACAATATCGGAAAATGAAAATCTTAAAAAGAGATTAAAACAAACTTCCTGAGTTTTCATGATTTTTGACCTATTTAATAATGATGTGTTTTGTGATTTTGTTATATCACCAAATTTAAACATGTATTTTAAAAACTTTTTTTTTTAATAATGCCTCATCACTTATTAAAGTGAATTATGTAAGATGTCGGCAAATAGTGCATTTGATAGTTTCTAAACAAAAAATAATAATAATAAATTATAAATTATAAGCGTTAAATAAAAATAATTTGTTTTAAAAAATTCCACACTATTCATGTTTTTGGGTAAGCAATTTGAAAAAGTGTTTCCAGACATATTTGGTAATTGATGTAGTTGTGATTTTGTCATATCACCAAATTTGAAGTCTATGTTTAAAGCTAAAAAAACGTCTCATCACTTATTAAAATGAGTTCATTGATGTATGCATCACAGTTGAGAGTGCTTTTTCAATTTCATGAAGTGTTTTTTTTTTTTAAGTAGTATCATGGAAGTGTTATTAAATAAATAAAATTACATTTTAATTTCTTCATGGTTTGGTTACATCTAAAAAAGGGTAATTTTAAATGTTTAAAGAATAAGTACTCCCAAATAAAGAAAAAGCAGGGATTGTCACTAATTAACCAATTTGCCATTAAAAAAAAATAAGTAGCAAATTCTTTAATTCAAACAGATTTTCATCCCAAAATAAAAAAAATAATAAAAAAATCAAACAAATTTCAACTAACGTTGATTAGGTCATATGGGTCCACAATAATTGACTATACAAGGAAAAGAATTCTATAAAATGTTAACAAAAGTTAAATGAATTTGGAGAAACTTCTTTTCTTAAATGATTTGACACATCAGCAAAACCTTAAGTGCAAAAAGTTTAAGAGTTCAAAGATCATCAAGAATGTTCAAAAGATTCAAACTGAATGGTCATCAACTTCAAAAACTTTTTGTGGCTCAAAAAAAAAACCCAAAAACTTGAAAATCAATTTTTTTGAAGAATGCAATTAAAGACCTACACTAATTAGGAAGTGAAAAATCCGCAATATGAATTAAAGACAACTAATTCTATTGGTACGAGACATTTTGAGTGAAATTAAAAACGGAATAATTTATATTTAAAATGGACAATATTATATCATTGTAAAAATTGTGAAGGATTTATTGTACTTCTTATCCGTCTAAGTAGAAATACTAATATATATTTAATTTCACATATTTGAATGATTCTCAATAGTCCATAAAATTGAGAGAATCTTTGTCTAATGGATGAAAGATATTAAAGTATTAGATGTGGTTAGGAAGCATGTGATTTATATTTTGTTTGAATTGACTAATGCTGTTTTTTTCTTCTTTTTGCCTTTGATTTCAGCAAGTTGTTTACTGAAATGTACTTCATATTATATTCTCATGTGACTAAGCACGTGAAATCTAAATCAAGCAACGTGATATTACATGGGTTTTCTACTTCTTGTTTAGATTAAGCACATGGCTAAATATTTATATATTTGTAAAAGATTTCCTACATGACCAATCATATTCTAAATTCACTTTTTTTTTAAAACAAGATTTCTGATGTTTTGTCGTAATTTATATAAAATAAAAATTTTTGGCAAAAAAAAAAAAAACAGTAGACGAAACAAGTTGTTTACGTCTCTCTTTAAAATGTTTTTTTCAAAACCTGTCTTTGATTTTGAAAAATTTGTATGTGGTTTTTTTTTTTCTTTTTTATTTTGTATTCACCGAGTTCATTCTCATTCGCAAAAATTCTGTGTCATTATTGTCAACAGCAAGAGGAATTCTATTAGGTGTGAGGAATTCTATTAGGTGTGAATCTAGCTATCGTTATGATTCACAGGTCTTCTTCCAATACAATAAACATATAATACATAAATTGAAAAAATATTCATTTCCGTATCGATGATGATCTCCTCGTCATCATTAAATGTTTAACAACTAAAAAAGAAAAGTGCAAAAGTATATATTCATTTCCGTACCGATGATGATCTCCTCGTCATCATTAAATGTTTAACAATTAAAAAGAAAAGTGCAAAAACAATACTTTTTTAAAACAAAAATAGGCTGTCAATTGTTTAATGGCAGGTAGCTAGGTATTTTCTAATCTAAAGGCTAATAGTTAATAATTTAATTAATTAAGACATATATTCTTGAACAAAAGATGCACCCACACATGTTAAACTCGAGAAAAAAAATTTGGAAAGAAATTTTTTGTATGTTTCAATTTTATCAAAGATGCCCCAAAAAAAATGCTCTTACCCTGGTTCTAACTGTTAGGTTCAATAATATCATCCCAAGTCCTAACTGATAGATGAAAAAAATTTACAAACTTTTTATATGTATAATCTTTCAATTCTAAATTCATTTCTTTTTCTTTTTTTTAATAAAAAGAAAACCCTTCTATTTTTGTTCCTGCCCTTGCATTGCATAGAGTAGATTGACCAATTCAGTTAAGGGAGCTTCCCTTGCATAGGTTGAAATAATTATGGCCATGGGTAATTTGGTTCTCATATAGTTAATTCTTACCTGGATAATCCAATTTCATCTCCATTTCAGCATGGATCTCCTGTTCAAGACAGGCAAGGACTATCTATCTAGAAGACGAAGCACATCTTCACATGCAAGTTCGCTGCGAACTGCACGTGCTTGAAGTCGTTGCAATTAAGGACATTGCATGCCCTCCTGACGTCAATTCACTCGTAATGAAAACGACCACCTTCTTGCAGGATTCATAGCTTAGTTAGCATTACTTTACTCTATTTGTTCTCTAATTCAGTCCTATTTGTTACGTCAATTGAGGTGTGTCTATGGCCAAACCCGAACAACATCAACGAGAACGCAGAAAAAAATGACAGTCACTCCATTTTAATGATTATGCCCTTCCAGTTAAGAATCATCTTGTATTCTAAATAATATTTACAACCTAAAATTAACTCTGGACTTTGAGAACTGTTAAGGGAAATGAATAAATGTCAGGAGTAGTGAAGGTTATATTATTCCAATGACCATTCTTGGTACAAATGAGTCTTGACATTGATTTAGGCGCGATGCGAAGTTTCTAAATCTATGCATAGCAAGAACAACTGATAAAGAGATTTATTTTGCAAGTTTGTTTGAACCTAAACAGACATTGATATCTAGTAAACTATGTATCACATTATAATTTCAAGATCCTAATGTTCAGAGATCAGCATTCCTGGCTTGGGTTATCCTAAAAGTAAACTCCCTAATGCTCTGAGTTCTCTAGAAGTTAGCTCCATGCACGATCAAGTGAATAAAAACAATCCTCTATCACTCTCATTTATTTTCTGTATAAAAGAATGACAATATACACCGTGGAAATTGTAAATACACACCTCTATGGAGAGAAATTATTCAGTGTAACCTCCGACTCGAGACCTTCCTCTCATTTACAGCGAGCTTGTATATTCTGCTTAATTGTAGTTATCCCTGACTGGAACTTGGCTGCCTTTACAATATTACTGAGGCTTCACTCCCAGCGCAGACTGTCAAAATATAGAAATAAAGAGGCTTATAAAGAAGAAAAGAGAATAGCATATGGTTTTCAAGCATTTTAATTCGTAAAGTTTTGGGAAGATACAAAACTGACCATATTAAGAAGGCGGAGGGCAGCTGGACGGGTGAACTTCCTTGCAAAAAGAAAACATATGGATGGTCTTCCCTTACTGGTACACCATTCTCTTCGATATTCAGTTTCATAATATATATTATCAATACTCTGCAGAAGGCAAATGTTATTTATCACGAACCACATGAGAGGAACTGAAAAGACAAGCAACTTGCTGGCTATGTGCCTGGGGATAATTTTACTATGTATCAGTCGCAGACTGAATGAATAATATATCAGATTAAACTCTCATTTGTATGAGTAAAGTGAAGAATCGCATCGTTTTGGGAGTGTTGCAGAGGAAGATAAAGAGGGCGTGAATAGGATCCGATAAATACAAGTTAAAAGAATTTTAGTACCTCAAAACCTTGATGGTGGTTCAGTTATTTACCGAAAAATGAGGAAACCACCTATAAATAATATTTTGAAGCAATATTTGGAAGTTCCACTTAACTTGGGGAAATGCAAAATAGATGTAGCCACTCGATTAACACAAGTTATGAATGAGCACTAAATACCTTTATAGATTGTATTAGATCAAGAGTAGCATCTGAAAATTTGTATGTTACAGGATGCCAATTACGACGCTCATTGTCTTTGGAGAATGAGAGATCCCATGCTGAATATGAAAGTGATCTTCGTGTGACTTCTCCTTCAAGCCCTTCTTGCTGAATCATGAAACGTTAATGATTATTAAACTAAACAACAAAATCTAAATATATATACCTTTATTGGAACTCTAGTATTTGTATGATATAAAATCTTGAGAGCATTTGGAAATTATTAAATAAAGTTTCAGGTAAAATTTTTTTCATTATTGTTAGAAAATAGAAACTCATACTTTGTGTCACCATTTGGATGTTCAGATCATTACCACGTGAACAAGCTTTGATCTAAATTGCAATTTCAGCATATTACCAAGCAAAAGGACGTATTCTAAGCTTCCAGCAACGACGTCAAATGTTCTCTGAAGTATGACATTCAACTACTAATATTGCATTTCGTGCACAAAGACTAATATATGATTATCGCCAACAAGAACAGTAAACTAAAGCCAGTTTTTGGAAAGAGAGTGCAAGCAAAAGTAAAACATAGGATCATAGCATGCTTGGAATGTTCATTGTCATCTTCCCCCTCCCTCATGGTAAATAAGATCCTAAAGTTTTTGAGGCTCAATGTTCTATGCTTTTTTAGATAAACAGCCGAGTTTTTCTTGAAATGGAAAGAGCTCTAATATTGAAAAAAATCTTACAGCCAATAAAGTCTGAACATAATGTTCATCAGGTATGCAATTGTGTTCCTTCCATGCATCATTAGGCTGCACACAAATTAGTTTCAAGGCATAAGATACACAACCTTGGTAAGTTAATTCTTAAAAAACAATTTATATTAGTATAAGTTCCTTTATATTAAATCTAATTTCATGGTACATGCTACAATTATATTGTTAATATGAAACCTAATTTTATTTTGGGAAATGATAAAAAAATTTTCGTATGATTGAAAATTCTTACAAATGGACGATCCCGCCAAAACTCTGGTAGTGACTTCCTCTGCATAATCATCAAACATAAAGCATGAGTTAAATAGTTAATAATAATCCTAAATTGATAACAAAAAGGGGCATGGAAATATACACAAGTAAACGTGAAGAAGCTACCAAGAGGCAAACATGGCGTCCATATAAGAGAATGATAAAAGTTCAACAAGATGACTTGCCTTACAATGCTGTTGAAACATAGGAAAGACTGTACTGTCCTTCACCACAACATTTGCATGCTTTCTTGTCAATACAACCCACTACAAGAGGATAATGAAGACCATGAGTAATCTGCAGAAAATTACATGGAGAGAAAATATTTGATTTTATTGGGTTATTAGATATTATGATTACCTGAGATCCTTTCCTCCAGTTGTAAACAGGAATTAGAGGATCCATTTTAGGATTGTATCGCCCTTCCTTTGTATCAGCAAAACTGATTTAATCATTTACTTGTTAATAATATTTACTATCAACGTTAAAAACTTTGATAACATGCATGAGGATAATTTTAATCCAATAAATTGGCAATAATAAATTCCTTCCACAATGAATGTTGATGGATAAAAAATCTCAGTGATGGGCACAGACATCGTTTGAAAAGTCTCGTATAAAGTTTAGCTGATATACGTTTAAATTCCATAAGCTTGAATAAACTAAGATGTGAATCATTCTGAATACAAAGAAGCTACAAGGAATTGGTAGATTAGCTTATTTGTAACCTGCAATCTCTTTAGCATAAAACAAAACTTAGCTATAGTTGATGAAGTTTCAATTGGAAATAGAAAACAACACATCAAAACTTTCATAATGTCTTCCAACTGAAGAAACTGTCATTGGATTTAGTTCCAACTTCCAATTTAGCTCTAGTTGTAGTAAGTTATATCCAAAGATTATAACTCTAGTTGTATGGAGATATATTTTAAAAAATGCTATTTTTATTTTAGATAATTGAAGTGGGAGGGGGGAGTCAAACAAGAAAAAACACTTCTGCAGAAGTAGAGCTATAATGTATTATAAATTAGTCTGCTTACCTGTCCACAAAACTAGTTGAAGTTGACATGACATAGTCATATGTGTAGCTGAAGTTGTATAAAGGTATGCAGCTGAGAAAAGATCAATTAACTGAAACATTGTAAGGATTGACTAATCCCATAAGACAACCTTCAAATAACATATTGGAGAGAACATAACACATGAAGTCCTCATCCATAAAATTAATCAAATAAATAGCCTATACCAAAAAAAATTACTAAATGCTTTTTAAAAATTTCCCTGACCACATAAGAGACTGCACAGGCTATTCACATCAAGTCTCACCTGTCAGAAAGAAAAATAAATCGCTCATTCAAAGTATCAGTAAGGGCATGTCTAAGCAATATACGTTCTGCCTCAATCATGCTTGCTTCACCCCAGTCTACCTGGTATACAACAGACAACATTAGCATCAAGACGAATATAGACATGTAAATGAACTTTGCAGTGAAGCAATCCAACCAATTAAATAATATTTCCTCATCCTACTACCCTTGATGTAATAAATTTACATAGAATCAAGATTGAAGACTGAACGGGGTCACTAACCCTCTAAACATATTAATGCTTGTGCACCATAAATACAAATAACTGTAAAATAATGCATTTTGGTACTCGGAAAGCAAAACGAGCTGAGGTTGTGAAGTATTTACTCAGTTGTATCACATTTCATGAGATGTAGCTTTTGAGCAAATGATTGGCTACTAGCTTTTACAATAAAATTCTTTTGATGCTCTTGCAGCAATCTTCACTGAGCAGCAAAGATGCTACAAACTAGTTATACTTGAGAATTATACATACATATTAGCCGCCTAATAAGGACAAGCACCACAATTACTTAACCAGAGTATCAATTTGCTGACAGTTCGAATTTCTCATTCCATTGTAGAAATCGTTACCTGTATACTGTCATTAACTTGACGATTCAAAAAATAGATCGATCTTGTCGTCGCCTTGTTAAATAAAAACCCTGGCCTCGAGTGAACAAAGATTGAAAACTTATTCTCCCCTTCCTGCAAGTATACTAACTTCGTTAACGCTATGTGCTACATAATTTCGAAAAATGATAGAACATTAAATCTTATAAAATGATCAAGTAATAATTTACAGAAATTGCTAATAAATATCCGTATAGAAATATTTAGCACGATATCAAAAACACTACCAGAAAAAACGCATCCCAAAGTATGTCCAACGGAAGCCGGTTTCGAGCTATGAACAGAAACGCGATTTTCGGTTCCTGAACTGATTGAGGATGCAACGACGCCAGCATCATAACCCGACCGTACCGAGTCTGCATCAAGACGAAGCTCCCGAAGCAAAATACAAGCAATAGAACAATCGCAAGCTTCCTCTTCCATTTGAAGAGCGCTTTCCGCTGCGCAACCTTCTGCTTCATCGGACTTCCTCTCCTGTTCACTCAAATTGCTCCACCATTACAGGCACAGCAGGAAAAACAGTACATCAACGAGCTCATCGTGATATGTATCATCGTTTCGCTTCCTTAAACCCAGCACGATCCATCGGCTGGGCGAAGCAATTTCCGATTATTCGAGCTGCGAAAAGGCGAATTGAGTGGAAATTGGAAACAAATTGATGACGAAATTGCGTGGTAGTGCGGTAACGGAGATCGAGAAGCTTGTGAAGAGCAAGGAGGACTCGTGAAAGCAGAATTTTCTTCGGCGGCAGCGTAGGAACTTGAGAGAGAGAGAGAGAGAGAGAGAGAGAGAGAGAGAGAGAGAGTTGGAGTGAGATAACTTCAGTTTGGGTGCTCTGTGAAGACAGTTTAGTTTCCCCTTTCATTAAATTATAGTTGGATTTTGATATTTATATAGGCTTCAACTTTGCGTGCAAAGTTGGGTATTCTCGTCCTTTCTAATTAACTCCATGTTTTCCAATTTTCATCCACAAATTATGAAACTTCTAATGGTTAAATATTTTTAATGTTTATTAGGGAAAAAAACACATTTTAATGTAATAATAGTTTCGTGCTTTTCAACTTTACCACCATTAAATTAGAAGTAAAAGAAAAGGGATACTTATTATGTTTTTCAAAAAATTAAATAGCTCGACAAATATATATGTATATATCAAATCAAACCTACATATTTTATAAACGATTCCACAAGCTCAAAGCAAAAACTAACTTGATTTTAAAAAACAAACATTCTAATTATATTCCCAACTTCAATCAATTTACTGGCTAAATTTTAAAGGGTAATTTATAGTCCTCTTGCCTAACAATAAATGGGAATTCAATAATTCTAAATGTGTATGAAAAAATTGCAATCCGTGTTACTTTTAACTTTTACCGAGTAGAGATGGATAAAAACATTTGTCTCTGACCAAAATATCACGAGTTTGAATCTTCACCTTCACATATTGTATTAAAAAAATATATTTTTAAGTTTCAATTGGCAAGGAATAATAAGTTAATTTCTTATATGGACAATTATTGCAATTCAACCATTATTATTCTTTGTGGTCGTAGTTTAGGGGTAAGGCATTTGCGACCTTGGCATTTTGCTATTTTTTCTGAGGTTATTGGAGATTCAATCTTTATTATTGTACCAAAAACCAATTATGTGTTTTCATCCATATTTTACCATTACTTTTGAGATAGATCTCATCTTAAAAGTTAAACCAACTCTCATTTCGAATATTAATAAAGAACAATTATATTTTAAAAATAAGTTTAGTAAACAAAATATCATGAATTTGAATCATTATCCATAGTTTTTAAATCTCAATGGTTTTTGTTTTGGCTTATTTCATTATCAACCCAATTATCATTAAACAAAAAATGCTATTAATGAGTAAAATAATTGTCAAACTAATAAAAAACATTACTTATTTTTTTAAAAAAATTAGTGGCAACATTAATTAATAATACAGTGCGAACTAAAAATGAAAAGAAAACGATTGAAAGCCAAACTAAAAATTATTGAAAAAGAAGTGGGTCATGTCGAGTGTAGACTGCAGCGGAATCCGAGTAGGGAGTGGAAACAAAGTTTGGTCAGAAAACTAATTATGTATTCTTGGAAGACACTCTTTTAAATTATAAAGTTTCATGTGCATTTTGTAAAATAAGAGTTAGTTGTAGCATTTTAAAATCCAAGCAACCCAAACCCAACAACTGGTTGTGTTGGAATCTTGGGAAGTTAGTATCTCTATGTCAAACTTAGAGAGATTTAATTGATAACAAATTATAAATTTTTAATTACTTTTTTTAGATTTTGTTTGTTTAAAGTTTTATCTTAGATCACCATACGACGTCGTTTCAAAGTCAATCTTCCACAGTCTGGTTCAGAACTAGAAGGAGTAGCTCTGCCTTGGCGAGGATTACATTACAGCCTATGGGATCGTTATCCTTTCGTCCTCAAATCACAGTGGAGAGGTCTGAAAATCTTTCGATTCTGACCTAATTTTCACGTTTTCAATTTGGTTAAATTCCCTCTAATGGCCGTTCGTTTCGCCATTGAAGAGGAGCCTCCGGAAGCGAAGCTGGAAGATACAAAATCTGCGCATCTCAGAAATCTTCTGTTCCGATCGGACGTTCCTCTAGATTCAGAAATTTCGCCTCGCGGTTCCGCATGAGTGTTGATAATGGAGGCGCTAATAGGAGCGGAGCTCGGATTGGTTCTGGAGATGCCGTCATCATCGTCGACCATGGCTCTCGCCGCCAGGAATCTAACCTCATGCTGAGTAAGCTAGGGTTTTGGAATTTCGAATTTGCTTGAAATTTTTTTGAAGTTCTATGCGTCTAATCCACTTGTGGCTCCGAATTTCTTGAAAATTTCAGATGAGTTTGTTGCTATGTTTAGGGATAAAACTGGTTACCCTATAGTGGAGCCTGCCCACATGGTATGTTCTTTTAACTGTTTTTTCACTTGTTCATCCATATATTTTAGTTTTGAATTATCCTACATTTTGTATTACGTTCATCTCTGTTCCCTATTTTTAACATCCGTAAGCAGTAACGGAGAATATTGTTTCATCCTTAATATTTATGTTGAACCCTTCAACTTATGAAAATATCAATCTACTCTTAAGTACAGCATCACGAACATTCAAAATAACATGGACCCAACCCAATAAATAATGATATCTTTAAATATGAATAGTATAGTAGTACATAACCTCCCCCCTCTCCCGTTTTTTAATAATTGAGAGTCGCTCTCCTATGCTCAGGGGCGGAAATTATTCTATTCTATCGAGCTACTAGAAGTTTCTTTTTCATCGTCTTTTTCTTCTGGTCCCGTGCACGCATGTTTGAACACAACACATGATGTTAACTGATTTGATTAGAAAGAGTAACAGTCACAACCACGTCTAATGTACTTGTGCTTTCTTGGTCTATTCTTAGCTATTATTGGTGTGGCCGGCCGGGGGCTCTAATGATTTTTCTTCTACTCTGTTCTGAAACTACACAGGAGCTGGCCGAACCGTCGATAAGAGACTCATTTGCATCGTGTGTTGAACAGGGGGCGAAACATATCATTGTAAGCCCATTCTTCCTCTTTCCCGGCCGACATTGGCAACAGGTAGCTCACTGTAAGATGGTTAATTTGATGCGATGAACCAGTGTCTGTTTCATCTTCTGTGACTTCCAGCAACAGGATTGATAGAAATGGCTGAAATTTTGCAGGACATTCCTTCCTTAACAGCTGAAGCAGCAAAGGATCACCCAGGAATATCATATATAGTAACAGCTCCTCTTGGTCTTCATGAAAAACTTGTGGTAAGAATTTCTCAAGTGGACTTTTTTCCAGTACAGGATAATGAAGAAAGCAAGGGCATACTTCATAGACTCATAAGTGATAAAAGAAAAAAATATATTTGTTCGAATTAAACTTGGGTATTCTGTTCGCAGGATGTTGTGAATGATAGAATAAATCACTGCTTAAGCCATGCTGCTGGAGTTGCAGATGAATGTGAAGTTTGTGCTGGAACAGGCAAATGCAGATTTTATTAAATGTATTGAAACCTGAAAGTCAGAAATCGGGATGGAACAATGTAGTTTTTCGATGACATCTACCCGAAGGGCTTCTAAGAATGTTGAAAGGAAGAGTAGGAACTTGGTGGTTTTTCTTTATTGTATAATTTGTATTTGAGAGCAAATGACTACTGTACACAATAATACTAATTTTCACAAGCTTGTTCAATCACAATTCTCACAATTGGTTTTGAGAACAGTTTCCCAAACAAACTTATTAGATTTGTTCAATCACAATTCTCCCAAAAACTTGCTTTACCCAATTCCAAACTCCATAGAACTTCTCCCTCTGTATTTCCATGCTTGCATTAGCTCGAGCCTGAGCTTGAGCTGGGGTTTCTCTTTCTTCAACCGTTTCCCTTCCTGTAACCACAGTCCATCCAACCCCAACATTCTTCACAAGGAGATCGAATAGAATAGAACAGAACAGAAACCCAGCTGAAAATTAGCTTCAAACTCACCATATTTTGTGTCATGTTTCTGGCGTTCCAGCCGCTTGGTGAAGGCCTTTGCCGCCGCGAAGACATTGGCCGGAATCTCCCAGCCGCCGCCGAACACGCCATACCCTTCCTTGGGCAGCGGCTGCATCAGATACTCCAGCACCGCCAGCTCCTCCCGGTCTACCCAATATATGCAATTCACGGGACACGACTCCACTGAAACCTGCAAGAATCAAACGACGCAGTTTAGTGTACTTTACTTTCTTGTAATTTACTCTTTTTTTCCCTTTTCTTTTTACCTGAATTTTTTTGTCATTGTCTCCATACTGAACCTGAACTCTTGCACGGCCAAGAGTCTCATCCATGGCGAATGTATTACTTGCATGGTGCACGCATTCCCTGCACCCTGTGCAAAATTATGTAACTTGGCGAGTTCAGTCAATTTATACCTTCCTTGAAAAGTTTTTATAAAAAATCCACTTTATCAAAGGCGACGTGACGACAGGCAAACTAGTTAAGACATCCCGATGTGACGGCAGGTAAACTAGTTAAGACATCCCGACCTCTCTAAAAATTGGAGGTTCAATTGAACTATAATAAAATCAAACAACTCATCCTAAATAATCTTTTCTAGCCACAAGATCTTCTAAAACTAGTTATATATCTCTAAAATATAGTGTGTGTTGATTTTATTTAAAAATCAAGTCTCCTTATATATATGTTTGATAAAATTTGTGAACAATTTATATAGTGAATAATGAAGGATGCACATGCACAGAACCATACCTATGCATGCATTTCCATCGACGAACAAAGCCTGAGGTCTCAGAGGTCCTTTCCAGGAGCTGTAACCTAATCCGGGGGAATAGTTTCCAAACCTCACCCTCGTCTCACCCATTGAAGAATCATATTCCTTCCTTTGATCCTCTCTCATCAGAACCCTATACGCCTCGTTCAGCCTCAACGTATGCTCGTGGCCCTAACAGAGTTCAAAATTCATCAGACAGTAATGTGTTTACGATCAATTTTTGAAATAAATAAACAACCTCTTGGCCTGCGATATCCGGATGGTACTTCTTCTGCAATTTTCTGTACGCTTCTTTGATTTCTTGAGTCTTTGAATCTGCAGGAACTCCAAGCACCTCGTAATAGTTCATCTCGTTCGATCTTTCTCTAGCGCTGCATCGTATCGCCGTCCGTCTCTGCCTCCTTTCGACCAAAAATTTTTCGTCAGAGCTTCCGCGAAGCAATAAGTATTGTGTAGTAGAAGATCTAAGTGGTTACGATTCAACGCTATACATAAGCTTGAGGAATTTAAGCTCTCTTCCGCTCCAAAATTTAAGACGGAACTCCGATGGTATCTGTAGAGGAAAATTTTACCTTAAGATGTGGTTATGTTCATTAGAATGCGCGATAGATGGAGAAGCCATTGCCATTGAGTGTTGCATAGATGGAACAGTGGAGATGGCCATGACTGGCGAGGAAGAATTGATGAAACTGGAGATTCTTTAGGAGGTTTCTGGGGGAAGAATTGATGAAACTGGAGATTCTTTAGGAGGTTTTTGGGAAGACAAAGTTTCTGCTGCAAGTCGGCAGTCCAGGAGGAGGAAGGAAGCGTCTGAAGTGGATCGGATATTTCTTCGCATTCGAGATATTTTGAATAATGTTTTCGTTTTCCATTGATTTTGCCTCAGTTTTTGTTTTATTTTTTCTCGTATAAATAGCTCTTATCCTCATATTTAGACATCAATAATAAAAGTTTGTGTTAATTGTTAAATTAAAATTATATTAAAAAATTACCTATAATGGGCAGCATAACTAATTATTGATTTGTACTTAAAAAAACCCGTTATTATTATCGAGGGAGCAAATCGAGCCGGACATGTGTCAGACGCTATAGGCGACAGCGCGGCGCAGTGCAGGATCACAAACGATTAACACTATATATTGTGCATGTACATGTACACGTCGTTACTATAACTGTGCGGGTGATACGTCGAAGACTGCAACATGCAACTTGTGGCTATAGGGGGACAAACTGGTAGGCGAATGCATCGCCCACGGGTTGTCAGGGACGTGCACCCTAATCCGTCAATACCTCGTAGAGATTCGACGTACCACTTCACCTCTAATCATCGTCTTTTATGGTCGACCCATCGTGCCTATTAAAGGGAATGACCCTATCACTATAAAATAAGGTGAAAAGTCTGTCACTAAACCTTTCGTGTTTACTCTTATTTTTGAGTTTATTGCTGCAGGTTTATTTGCCCCTTCGAAGAAAAAGACAACCTAAGGGACACGTGACCCTCTCCGAAATTCATTCTCAACAATTACATTTGTAGTTTGTCGGTAGAAAAAGACAATCTATTCGAGTTGCATAACTTCCACAGGTGCTGACGCCTCCGACAGTGCCTCTTAAACTGTTAATTTTTCTTAACTCATACCTCATTAATGTGCCATTTTTCTTATTGAAACACTTAATATAAGTATATGACTAACAAACTGAAGTTTGATTAATAAAAATTGGAATAAGCTCTAATGCTATATTAAACCATAATTAATTCAAAGCTTAAATTAATGAAATGTTATAAAATTGTTTAAAAAAACGAAATATTAGAAGGAAATATATTTCGTCAAGAGAAAAATAGATAAATAAGAAAAGGTAAAAAACCGACCATATTAATAAAAGTTGTTATCTCTCGGGCTTAATTCTAACATTTTTATTTTTATTTAATATTTTGTTAATTTTACATTTAATATAGTCTATAACATAAATCATATACCATAGCATATTGTGTAAATTGATTCAGCCTTTGTAGTTTAGTGATATAAAATTGATTTTTTTTCCCTAAATTTATTAAATTTAAAAACTCTAATTTTCAGATTGAATTTGCTCGCTTTACATTTCAATTTCACTGCTAAATTAGAGGAAAGAAAGGAGTAAATATTGAAATGAAGGGAAAAAAAAAAGAAAAAGAAAAAAAAAAAGAAAAGAAAAGAGAAATAAGGTATCGCAATTGCCGCAACCAGCGATTTCCCGCCATCGTTCCTATAAATATACGGTGCAAATTTCCGTTTCATCTTCTATGGCATTTTGAATTTAGCTCCATGATTAGCGTCTCCACCGCGAACTCGAGCTTCTTGCCTTCCACTCGCGCTCACGAACACCCACACTGAAGCTCTGAATCTGTTCCTGTAACTGTCAAGCGAAGAAGTGCGCAGAAAATGGAATACTAGTTTCGTCAACGATCACGCCTGAGTAATCTGCTATGAAGCATTTCCGATAAGATTGAGCTCAGAACTACCTCGGTACTACAGCGTTCCTCGATTTATATTCTATTAGATTACAAAAATGTAATGTTAGAGAGCTTCTCGACGGACTTTGTTCAGGACGGTTCTGAATTTGAGATTACTGGTGGATGATTTCATTGTTTGAATTAATTTTTATATACTGGATGCCTCTGCTTGATTGAGCCTTTTCACACTTGGTGCTTCTTCATATTTCTGGTTTTTCTACATTGTATTTACTTTAAAGACTTTTCCGTCTGGATCTTTGAATGTATGAGGTCGAGATTGACACTAAGGATCGTGCAAATGTCTATTCCTTCTTCATAATGTTTAAACAGTAGGTGTTTATTGAATTATCTGCTTGTTAATTGTGTAGACCTTACTATTGACTGTAATGTTTTCCTTGTATCAGTATCGATAAGCTCAACTTGCCTACATCAGTGTCCAGAAGTAAGCTTGAACGCGATGGTGGACTCATATTCACTGAAATCAGTGTCAGATTTACCTGCACCTTTTCGTTCGACTTTTAGTTTCAGGTAATGTGCCAGTTCTATTGAAACTTCAGCTCTAGTATTCTTGGACACTACTGCAGATAGATTGTTATTTTAGCAATTATGACTTTTCGCTGATGGATTTCAAACCGAGGAAGTGTCTATGAACGATATATTTTTTTTCATATTTAAGTTCTCTGTAAATTTTCTAATCGTTAGACTTATTCTTATTTTGCCTATTGCATATCATTTTCAGTCGCCTATTTCTTGCTGTAGAATGAACCAATCATCGCTTCCTATCAATCTGCTTAGCAGCATCAGATGTGTCATTGAGTTTGTAATTTGTATCTATTTACTTTCCCATTATTTCTCAAGAAGAAAGTCCAAATTACCAACAGTTTGTTTCATAAGTAGAGTAAATTCCAAGTTAGAGCAGAAAACAACTGTCTTAACTTCGTAAGTGATGTACTATTGACGCTTTAAAGATGTGAGATGACATCCAATTTTAAAATTGGAGGACACAATCTTATACGACTGTTTCCTTATATATGTTGTGTCCTCTCCAACTCAAGTTGTGTACTAGGCTAATCCATGTTCTCACTTACTAATTTCTCTACATACAGGTACTTCAATTCACTGCAGAGTGAATGTTTCCCTGTTTGCTTCAACTCCGATGCAAACATGGTCATTTCAGCACCTACTGGTAGTGGTAAAACCGTACTCTTTGAGCTCTGCATTTTGAGGCTTCTTTCAAAGTTTATTGCCGAAGGGAAGTTCATCCATGTGAAGGGAACTCTAAAAAGCGTAAGTCTCATATGCAATTACGCCATTGGACAGGTGTAAAAAAGTGCTAAATTTATTCTTGTCATAATAGAGGAGAGCATTGCAGTATATGTATATAATTCATATGCATGCATTCTTCTCTTCAACAATTTATTCCATGTTTCATTTCTTCTCTCTTTTTTTATTGCGCGCGTGTTCATATACATACAAAGATGTTATTATTTGCATAATCTTTTTCAAAACTTATTCAGTGGGAAATTACAATTTTGGAAAGCTTTTGTTCTTTAGATGAAATACCTTCAAGTTGAAATTTTGTGTGCATCTAGTGTTATATTACTATAATATCATTCTTCCTTTTACATTTATGCAGATATACGTTGCTCCATCTAAGGCTTTAGTACAGGAGAAGCTCCGTGATTGGAATCAGAAATTCGGGTCCTGGGGGGTCAGTTGTTTGGAGCTAACAGGAGATAATGAAACTTACAGCATGAAGTATATTCAAGAAGCTGACATTATTCTAACGACGCCTGAGGTCAGCGCTTTGAACACAGGATTCTAATGAGGATATAGAATCCTTCTTTTAGTGTATCAATTCTTATATACAAAATAAAGTCCACATGCAATTCAATGCTAATAACACTTTTAGCCACGCAATTCTTCTAAGTTTATCATTTCCATTCAATCGTTCTTTTCAAGAGAGCGACACTTCTTGCTTAACATGATTGTCCCAAGCTGCATAGTCTTAAAATTTAATAATTTTAGGCGCTTCTTGTAGTTTGAATTTCACTTGCATATATTTGATTCAGCGATTCCATACTATAAATAAAAGAGATGGCGTTCACTGGTTCCAATTTTAACATCATCTTTCTGGAAGGCTAAATACTCTTTCCTCTAATTTTTTTGCATCGATTAGAAATTTGATGCAGTGACTCGGTATCGCATAAAGGATGGTGGTTTGAGCTTTTTCAGTGACATAGCTCTCGTACTCATTGATGAAGTTCACCTTTTGAATGATCCACGTGGAGCAGCCTTGGAAGCCATAGTTAGTAGAATTAAAATGATTGCTCGCAGCCCCGAAATGAAATCCAGTCCTCTCTCTCAAGTTCGTTTCTTAGCTGTATCTGCCACAATCCCAAATATTGGGGATCTTGGTAAATTTTACTTTAGTTTGTTATTGTTAGTTTTACTACCATTTCTAAGTATCTGAAAGTATTTAAAAGTTTTAAAAATGTTAAGATTGATTAAAACCATTGCAGCGGAATGGCTTAAGGTTCCTGTTCAAGGAGTTAAAAGGTATGCTTTTGGTATTATTTAACAGGCACACCTAGTGTCTTCATTGCAGGAGTAAGTATATCTGGTTTTCAATGTTTCATCAGGTTTGGAGAGGAAATGAGGCCTGTGAAGTTAACTAGCAAAGTATTTGGTAATTGTCCAATTGATTTCTAAAATTTCTAGTTCTCTGGTTTGCTTCTTTGTCAGATACAGTACTACTATCTTAAAAATGTAGAATGGGGGAGTACGAATTATGATGGTTCAGTGCTTAGAGTAAATGGGAATATCAATAAGTGTGCAGTACGTGATATATTTTGTATTTTTTGCTGTTATATACTTATTTATGTAATCCTCCTGCAGGCTATGCCCCTGCCAAAAATGATTTCATGTTTGAGAAGGTATTTGATTGAAATTCGGTATAGGTTGTTTTCAAGAAGTTACGACCTGCAAAAGATATGTTTGGAATTATCTAACCGATCCCAACTTTATTTCATTGTGTATTACAGCGCCTTCAGAACTACATTTTCGGTAAGTGGGACCATTAAATTTTCTTTTTCTCTGAACCAATATTCTTTTATGTACTTCTGTTTCCGGACTTATATTAATATTGTTACACTAAGAAATGTAGATGTTCAAACGAGTTTGCAGATGTTCTCATGCAATATTCAAGAGGAAAATCTGCTTTAGTTTTTTGTTCAACTAGAAAAGGAGCGCAAGAAGCAGCTCAACGGCTGTCTCAAACAGCAATGACCTTTGGTTATTCAAATCCATTCATTAAAAGCAAGGAACAGCTGGAAAGGTTACGAGAAGCTTCACTATCATGTAGTGATAAGCAAATGCAATCTAATAT